GACACGAAAGATGATGATTGCATTCGGACGAATAATATATTGCATTTCATGCGCGGCGTGTGGCTCGGCACCATCTTCAACGTCGTGTCCAGGATCAGCGCCTTGCTTGCTGCAGGTTCTGCAGGCTTGCCACGCTTCTCCTCCAATGGCTTCCTCTCTCCATCTCTCCTTCCCACCTCCCCCTCTCCATGCCCCTCCTCTCTCTCCTGATGCCTGTCCCCTCCCCTCTCCCTTCACAGCTATACATTATATGAACACTACTCCCCTCTCTCCCCGGACCCCGTCTGGACGATCGCCGGCTCTCTCCGCGAGCTGTTTTAGACACAGGCTTTCAAACTCCGCTCCGATCGTTGTCGGTGTTTCGGAACGGTGCTCCCGCCGCAGCGCGGGCCTCGCTTTCGGATGGGCGCTCCGCTCCCGTCGTTCGGAGTGGCGCTCTTCGCCCCCGCGTGAGCCTCGTTTCCGGATCGGAGTCCCTCCTCGTCGTTGTCGCCCCCCGTCCTTTCCCCTCCGCCGCCTTCCCCTGGTCCTCCTGCTCCTCTCGCTCCTTCCACTCCAGTTCCCGCTGCTGCTGTTCGTCCTCCTCCTCCCCCTCCCCCTCCTTCTCCTCCCCCTCCTCCTCCTCCTCCTCCTCCTCCTCCTCCTCCTCCTCCTCCTTTCTCACTCTTCCTCTTTTCCTCATGCTCAACCCCCTCGCTCTGCCGTGGCCCTCCCTCCTGCTCGTCTCGCTCCTTCCACTCCAGTTCCTGCTGCTGCGTGCTGTTCGGTCTCGTCTTTCTCCGTCCTCCTCCTCCTCCTCCTTTTCCGCCTGCTCATCCTCCTGCTCACCCGCCACGTCCTCCTAGTATGTGCGCAGCTCCCTCTACCTGATTCCGCATGACACGATGGGGCCTTTTATGAGTTCCAGGTCGGCCATCACGCGCGTCCGCGGATAGAGTCGGGGCGCTGAAGAAGGAGCTCTTTTTGTTGGGGAGGGGCTCAGTGTTCCTCAGGTTTTTTTGCAGCTGTTCCTCAGCTTTCGATGGGAAGCCGAAGCTTGACTTATGGAAGACAGGGGCCTCGCTCCTTATATTTAGGGTTCCTTCGGTCAACGCCCCGACTGGAAAGATGATCGAACTTCGCGCGCCGCGGTCTGGGCCAGAGCCCTGTCCGTCTCCAGGGGGGGGGCCGGCGGCACAAGCGCGCGAGGGCGCGGAGACGAGCGCGTGTCGCCCATCGCGGGAGGCGGTGCGCGAAGCCAGGCGCCCTGAGGCGAAGCGATGCTCGAGGAGGGGGACGCCCGAGGGCGCGAGGATGATCGCGTGCCGCCCACTGGGGGGGCGCGCAATGGGAAGGGATGGGAGGGAGGGATAGGACGTCAGATATGAGGCGACCGCGCCTGGCGTGCCCCTCCCACTCCCCCCTTCCGTCCTCTCCCTTCGCCCCCTCGCCCTGAGGGTCTCTCCGAAGGGCTTAGGCGACCCATCCTCCTCTTCCTCCTCCTCTTCCTCCTCCTCCTCCTCCTCCTCCTCCTCCATCTCCTCCTCCTCCTCCTCCTCCTCCTCCTCCTCCTCCTCCTCCATCTCCATCTCCATCTCCTCCTCTCAAGCGCAGCACGGGGGCCTGCCCGATGCGCTTGGGGCACACCGCGCGGCGCCGCCATAGCAGCGGCCAGTTGGCGGTGACGAACACCCGTGTACCCCTCCTCCTCCCGCCAGGTGCCCGCCCGCCCCGCAGGCAGCAGCGGAACGACGACACCATGGGAGGCACAAAGGGACAGAAGTACAGCTGGAGCACCTGCAGCAAGTGCCACACCTGGGACTGGGACGACAAGCTGAAGGCCCGCCAGCATCGATGCGGGCGCTGTGGCTCGGAAGTTGGCATCCGGAACCAGCAGCACCAGAGCCAGCAGCAGCAACAGCAACAGCCTGCAGGAACCCAGCCCCAGCAGCAGCAGTCGATGGTGACCGTGGATGCGACGGCACTGCAGCAGCTGCTCACCACCCTGGCAGCGGGCTCTCCCGCCCCGCAGCTTGCGGCAGCGGCGGCGGCGGCGCTCCAACCACACCAGGGGCCCGCAGCCAAGGAGCCCGCCCCCGACGAGCTTGTGAAGAAAACGTCCAGTGCCTGGATGGACGCCAGTTGCCGCCACGAGCAGGCGGTGAACCAGGTCCTGGTCTGTGAGGAGCGGCTGGCGGCAGCCCGCGAGAAGGAGGCCGCGGCGGCGCTGGCATTGGCGCGAGCAGAGCAACAACGCCGCGACGCAGCAGCCGCCGTCTCGAAGCAGGTGGGGGGCGACGACAAGGGGGCCGTCCTCGCCCTCTCGTGGGGCCCCGCCCTGTTCGAGAACTTGGACGAGCTGGATGGCATAGAGGACACCGAGAAGGCGGAGTTGGCGAAGGTGCTGGACGACCTCAACAGCTACAATAACCAGCTCGCAGAGCGGGGTGACGAGATCAATACGCGTCTCGGCAACGCGAGGCGCATCCCCAGGCGATCAACGAGCGGAGGGCGAAGAAGCGGAGGCCTCCTGATGGAGCGGGCACTGCTGCCACTGCACCAGCCTCGGCTTCGGGTGCGACGGCGCCGCAGACTGCGACGCCAGGGGCCTCGGCGACTTCTCCCACCGCCGAAGACGCTGGGGCCACCGAGGTGAGCGCCGCCGCCGCCGCGGAGATCTCCGCCAAGAAGTTCGAGGAGATGCGAGCACAGCGGATGATGCAGGAGGCGGCCAAGCAGCTCGCGGTCTCCCAGAAGGGCAGCGGCAAGGGCGCCGCCGCCTCCAGCGCCGCCGCCGCCTGAAGGCGTGGCCCTGCCCACCAGAAGTCCGCGGTGGAGTGCAGGGACTTGTTTTTTTGCGGCAACATCACGCAGTTGGGGCCGACGGCGCTGAAGTGGATCGAGGGGTCCTTGCAGCGACGCGACTTCCACGGCTACCTAATTCAGGAGACGCACCTCGACATGGACAGCATCACCGACGTGGAGCGCCACTTGAGCGCGCTGGGCCTCAAGGCGTGCTTCTCGGCTGCGCTGTCCTCACGAAACTCCACGCGGGGCACGCGCGTGTGTGTGTGTGTGTGTGTGTGTGTGTGTGTGTGTGTGCGTGGGCGCCCGCAACTACCTCCAGACCTCCACTTCTCGGGAGCTCTCCGCGCCTGGCTGGGCATCACGTGCTGCGTCGTGCTGCAGTCCTACTGGAGGGCCAGTGGACTTTTACGACTGGGTGCCCATGCTTTGGCACATGAAGGCTACAGCATCCTGATCATCTCGCTCTACTTGGACCGCGGTTCCTCTCTGCGCGTGGGAGCGAACGCGAGGAAGCTCAGCAGCCTGGGCAGCTTCTTGCGGGCGACCTCCTACCCGTGGATCGTGGCGGGCGACTTCAACGTTCCGCCCGAGACGCTCTGGCGATCTGGTTGGCCTACCGCACTCGGCGCCGCCGCCATTGCCAGCGTGCCAGACGGCAGCTTCACATGCGCCATGAAAGGCGCCACCCCTTCCATCGTCGACTGCGCGCTCCTCGGCCCGCGCGCCGTGCCCCACTTCATGGGCGTCGCCGCGAGGGCGGACGTCCCGTGGAAACCGCGCCTCGGCCAGGTCATCCGACTTTATGGGGCTGCCCGGGAATGCTGGGCGCGACGGTTCCGACTCCCCTCCAACTTCAACCGCCAACGGCTTCCAGTTCGCCGACCTGACCCTGGCAGTAAGAGGCATCGACGTCTTCGCGAAGCCACTGAAGCAGGACGACCACCGCGACAACGACCACAACCACCTCGGCTTGTCTGCGACGACCACGACGAGCTCAACAGCAGCGATGGGGAACCCTCACTCCGAGCGGATGGACTGCACCCGCCACCGGTACCGATGGCACACCGGTGGCTGGCGGACCAGCAGGAACCGCAACATGCCACGACGAGGGCGACCCCTTTGCTCAGCTCGACCTAGACCATTGGCCGTCGTGCGCGGGCGTGACATCGAGGCAGAGGGGCGCGCTGGCGTGAAGGTAGGCCCGTGGCCGCGAATCCCATTCCCAACCGCGGCAGGTCGCGCTCGGGATTGTCGTCGAGGCTGCAGCTTACTTCTTCGACGGCCGCCGGCGCTCTTGGAGGCGTTGGATTGGGCGACTTGTCGAGGCGATGGGGCCTCTCCTACGACGCCTGGGAGATCGAGCGCGGGCGCCCGCCGGTGCTGGGCGAGTGCGTGCCGGGCCTGCCCAAACCAGGATTGGCGGGATCAGTGGGGGCTGTCGGCCTGGCGGTTTCGCATGTCAGAGCGTTGTTGCTAGACTCTTCCGCGCCGCCCATGCCTCGTGAGGGGTGGCTCGAGATGGTCCCGCGGGCGAGCGTCCAGGTTGGCAGCGGTGAGGGGTGGCGCGCCATCTTCCGTAATTTTGTGTATATAGGAATTTACCTAACAGCGAAGACTGATAGGTTTCTAATGGTCTCAAAAGAAAGCATCATGACTCCCCGGGGGGGTCCGGGCAGGATCCGGGGAGAATCCGCGGATCCGCCAGTGACTATGGGGAACGCGCCACTGAGGCTGAACTGAGGCCCCCAGCGCCGCCAGTGACTATGGGGAATGCACCGCTGAGGCTGAGGCTGAGGCCCCCAGCGCCGCCAGTGACTATGGGGAACGCACCACTGAGGCTGAGGCTGAGGCCCCCAGCGCCGCCAGTGACTATGGGGAATCCACCGCTGAGGCTGATGCTGAGGCCCCCAGCGCCGCCAGTGACTATGGGGAATCCACCGCTGAGGCTGAGGCTGAGGCTGAGGCTGAGGCAGGCTGAGGCTGAGGCTGAGGCAGGCTGAGGCTGAGGCAGGCTGAGGCGGAGGC